AAAGGCAGCAAAGGCAAAAAGTAATGGAATGGGAGTCACACTGCAATTGTGTGCCGCACAGTGGTCAGTGAGGTTAAAACCTGCAGCCTCCTCAATGCCTATTAAACAACCTCTGAAACGTGATCTGCCGCAGATCATTTATCAGAGGGGCAGCAATCATAGCTGCACATTTAACTGAGCACTTTCAGCCCCCCTTACTCCCTCAGAGCTCCCCTAGATTCCTTTACTTCTCTGCACCCCGCAGAGCCCACCTCCCCTTCCCTTCTTCATCTCATTGATAGTCCTCCTCAGACTGACACCAGACTGACTCCAGCAACACAGTGGCAATTTTTCCCCACTGACGTTGATGCAGCACCATTGTTCCTCTTAGCTACACCACAAACATAGAGACATTTTTCTTTGCCACTTTGAGCCCCATATTTGTGCACTGATTTTAAACTCTTCATTTTGCTACAGAGCACCACAACAATTGGTATTATTTTGCACATGCCACAAACCTTACATACATTTTTTTCTCTATGTGTTGTTAATAGCTCCTTCCCCTGTACCTGGGCGGGGGCGCAGTTTGCCATCTTCGCCCTGGGCACTGGATGATCCTGTCCCGGCACTGCTTGGCACAATGCAGTCAGGCAAGTACAGTTCTGCTGGCAACCATCAAATCCAGATACATCCATTGGATTGCCAGACAGAGAAGTGTGATTCTTCACCCCAGAGAACACGTCTCCACTGCTCTAGAGTCCAGTGGAGGGGAGCTTTACACCACTGCATCCGATGCTTTGCATTGCACTTGGTGATGTAAGGCTTGGATGCAGCTGCTCGACCATGGCAACTCATTCCATGAAGCTAATCTGTAAGGCCACGCAAAGTTTGGAGGTCTTTAGCTATTGACTCTACAGACAGTTGGCGACTTCTGCGCACTGTGTTTTCAACATGTGCTGACCCCGCTTTGTCATTTTATGTGGCCTACCACTTAGTGGCTGTTGTTCCCACTTGCCTTCACTTTGTTAAAAAAAAAAAAAGAAATTTTTCCTCTGAATATGTCATTTATTGCCTCACGTGCCCAGGCAGATTATTCTACATTGGTAGAACCACACAGACACTGAGGAAATGTTTCGGCAAACATTGCTGATTCGTGGAGGAAGGGGTTGAAATGCACTGTGTCCCTAGGCACATCAAAGAGCACCATGACAAATGCTCTGAAGGCCTAAGAGTTTGGGTCATTGAGGGGATTCCCAACGCATACCCCCCTGCTGAACATTTCAAAAGATTATATGAACAAGAGACCTATTGGATATACATTTTGAACATGCTAGCCCTTATGGGTCTCAATAAAGAGATATAAATTAGCACTATTATTTGATTTTAGGTATTACAGCTCTGTTTTACACCTATGTGGACCTATGAACATTGCTCAACATAAAACTTAATGGATAACGGTCTGAATTTAAATCCCTCCTTTCCTCCCATCCCCTTTTTTGATGGATTTAATCTCCTAATATCTTGGATTTATTATAGTATTAACGTATCTTCATATAAACACCATAATGTCTCTTATTATTTAAATGCATAGTAATTATAATAATTATATTTTTAGTTGCGCTCTGTATATTAATTGACTCTGTCCGTCTCCTACGATCCTCCTTAGTTGTGTATTAAGACCACCCTTACCCTGCACACATAGGCTTATGCACCAATATAAAAGGGAATTGTCATCTTAACCAATCGGGTTTGACAAAGGAGCTGATTGGTGCTCCTAAATGTATTACCTAGGCTACCTAGGTACCCACCTTCCTTGATGCCACTTCCGGTCTTGCTGTCAATGGTATTTTTTTACCATCACTTCAGGGTTCCGCGTTCCTTTCCAACCATAGGAGCCATAGCTTTCTGTGGAGCGCAGATGTCCGGCATGTCTCTTGACTCCATCTGGTCCTGGATGCCACTACAAACATACCACCTGACAAGTGGCTGTGGTCCTCACACTTCTAATGGTTTTTTTACTTCTTCACACGTGAGTATTTTTAATACTGCACTTAGAGGCGCCACCCTTGTGTTCTTTGTAATTTCTGCAAAGGTACATTCCAGTATCCTGGTGGAGCTGCCTATAGGTGCTTTTTATGGACTTTAGTAATCTGCATGGACTTTTAATGATATGGACAAAATGGACTTAACATTGCTCTATTGTTAATTCTCTGTATCCCATACTGATATTTACTGTAGGTTTGTGCCATATGCCATTTGTATATCAGCTTCCAGTTTGTTATAAGACCACTAACAGTTGATCGTGGAATACTTAGTAGCAAGGAAATTTCACGGATAGATTATTGCACAGGTGGCAACCTATCACGGTACCACGCTTGAATTCACTGAGCTCTTGAGAGCGACCCATTCTTTCACAAATGTTTGTAGAAGCAGTCGGCATGCCTAGGTGCTTGATTTTACACACCTGTGGCCATGAAGGTGATTCGAACAGCTGAATCGAATGATTTGGAGGGGTGTCCCAATACTTTTGGCAATATAGTGTATATGCTTTTTCCTGCATATTTTACATTTGAGACTAAAAAAATCACACAGTTCTATTTTATGTTTTAATCAGGTAAATATTAAATACTGCATATGTGGGTGGTAAAAATTAGTTGGTTGTCCTCTTCTTTTCCAAAGTAATTTTGCCACATTTTTGTGAATTAAATTACATGCTCTGCTTATGAATCAGAGGGATACACTCCTCCCTGGTTATAAGGCTCCTAATGTAGCAATAAGTGCAAGCTGTTCCGTATTAGCAGCAATTGCAAGCCATTCTGTATTAGAAAGCTCAATGTGCTCTGCAAATACTGTGACATGGAAATACCCTGTATTAAATGCTTATTTGTACAGTAAGTAATTCATAAAAAGTATTCAAAAATATATTGAAGCTCAGTTTACAAACTTGCAAACATTAAATCAAATAAAATTCAAGCTCTAAACCATAAGCATTCAATTTACATAGTTACATTGTTCGGAAGGTTGAAAAAAGACAGAGGTCCACCCAGTTCAACCAATGTGTGTGTACATGTGCATGATTTTTGTTTTCTAACAATTACCCTGTATATTCTACTTCCTGAGGAAGACATCTAAAAGGTTTTTGGAAATTTTTGACACTCTCAGCTAGTGCCACCTACTGGGGGATGGAGGGGCCACATTTTTACTGCTCTAACAGTAAAGAACTCTTTCTTCAATCTAAGGTTAAACCTCCTTTGTTCCAATCTCAAATTGTGACTGCGTGTCCTCTTCAAGAACCTTAGAGTAAACAGTTTATAATAGTTATTGGAGTCACCTTTGATATACAGTATTTGTACATTGTAATCATATTCCCCTTAAGCTCACCTTCTTCAGAGTGAATAACTGTAGTCTATGTAATCGATCCTCATAGCTGAGGTCCTCCGTCCCCCTTATTAATTCTGTTGCCCTTCACTGAACTCTTTCTAATTCAAGAACATCTTTCCTGAGAACTGGTGACCAAAACTAAACTGCATATCCAAGATGAGGTTGAACCAGTGATTTGAAAAAGGGTAGAATTATTGATTTATCTCTTGAATGTGTGCCTTTTTAATGCACAAGAGTATTTTGCTAGCTTTGTTAGCTGAAGCTTGATGTGACTTGCTCTCACATGCTATTATTCCTGTGAATCCATTCACTGCTAGCAGCACAACATGTGCACACTTATGCAGGCCATAGATGGGTCGAAAATCGGCCGATTTTTCGGCCGAAAATAAAATCGGCCGATTTTCGGATCGTTAGTGGGCTAAATGGTCGGCCGTTTTTTTGGTATTTTGGCAGATTTTTTTTATCGGTAAAGTTGGAAAAAAATCGGCCGATTTTGCCGATCGGCCGATTTTCGCGGCAATGATGGGCAAATCGGCCGATATTTTACCCATAAAAAAATCTGCGCATGAGAGCAGTGACCTGCAAGAGGAAGACAAAAAGAAGAAGAAAAAAAAGAAGAAGAGGATAAAGAAGAGGATGAAGAAGAAGAAGAAGAAGCAGAGGATGAAGAAGAAGAGAAGAAGAGGAAGAGGAAGAGGAAGAAGAGGAAGAGAAGAAGAGGAAGAGGATGAAGAAGAAGAGGATGAAGAAGAGGATGAAGAAGAAGAAGAGGATGAGGAAGAAGAAGAGGGTGAAGAAGAGGATGAAGAAGAGGGTGAAGAAGAGGATGAAGAAGAGGGTGAAGAAGAGGATGAAGAAGAGGGTGAAGAAGAAGAAGAAGAGGGTGAAGAAGAAGAAGAAGAGGGTGAAGAAGAAGAAGAAGAGGATGAAGAGAAGAAGAAGAGAGGATGAAGGAGAAGAAGAAGAGGAGGAAGGAGAAGAGGAGAAGAGGAAGAAGGAAGAAGAGAAGAGGATGAAGAAGAGAAGAAGAAAGAGGATGAAGGAGAAGAAGAAGAGGATGAAGGAGAAGAAGAAGAGGAAGAGAAGAAGAGGATGAAGAAGAAGAGGATGAAGAAGAAGAGGATGAAGAAGAAGAGGATGAAGAAGAAGAGGATGAAGAAGAAGAGGATGAAGAAGAAGAGGATGAAGAAGAAGAGGGGAGTGAAGAAGAAGAAGAAGGTGAAGAAGAAGAAGAAGGTGAAGAAGAAGAAGAGGGAAGAAGAAGAAGAGGGTGAAGAAGAAGAAGAGGGTGAAGAAGAAGAAGTAGAAGAGGGGGATGAAGAAGAAGAAGTAGAAGAGGATGAAGAAGAAGAAGTAGAAGAGGAGTGAAGAAGAAGAAGAGAAGAAGGATGAAGAAGAAGAAGTAGAAGAGGATGAAGAAGAAGAAGTAGAAGAGGATGAAGAAGAAGAAGTAGAAGAGGATGAAGAAGAAGAAGTAGAAGAAGAGAAGAAGAATGAAGAAGAAGAAGAAGAAGAGGATGAAGAAGAAGATGAAGAAGAGGATGAAGAAGAAGATGAAGAAGAAGAAGAACAGGATGAAGAAAGAAGAAGAACAGGATGAAGAGGAAGGTGAAGAAGAGGATGAAGAAGATGAAGAAGAAGAAGAGGATGAAGAAGAAGAGGAATTCCAGTCCGGCAAAAAGTGTATCTGCAGAGAGCTCCGCTATTTCTTCTGACAGTTCCTTGACATTTATAGCGGTTGCAACAATGTATTTATTTGTTTCTGAATAAAATGGATACAAACAGATACATTGTTGCAACCGCTATAAATGTCAAGGAACTGTCAGAAGAAATAGCGGAGCTCTCTGCAGGGACACTTTTTGCCGGCCGTAGACGGGATGAAAATCGGCCGATTTTTTTTTTTTTTACCGTTGCTGGTAACGTCGGCCGCTTGAACGACCGATTTTTTTTTTTTTTTTAAAAGAAAAATCGGCCGATTTTCGACCCGTCTATGGCCGGCCTTAGAGCTACAATGGTACATACACAAAATAGTATAGTAATAGATTTGCCACAAAACAGCTGCTGGGCCCCTGTATCTTACTGTCTCTTATTACATTGTTTAAATATTCTTGTGTGTGTGTGTGTATATATGTGTATATATATATATATATATATATATATATATATATATATATATATATGTATATATATATGTGTGTGTAAGCTCTAACGAGCAGGGCACTCTGTTTCCTCTTGTACCAAATTGTATTGTAACTGTAATGTCTACCTTCATTTTGTAAAGCACTGCGCAAACTGTTGGCGCTATATAAATCCTGAATAATAATAATAATAATAATTATACATACAGTAGATATAAAAAGTCTACACGCCCCTGTTAAAATGTCAGGTTTCTGTGATGTAAAAAAATTAGACAAAGATAAATCATTTCAGAACTTTTTCCACCTTTAATGTGACCTATAAACTGTACAACTCAATTGAAAAACAAATTGAAATCTTTTAGGGGGGGTAAATTAAACATATAAAACTTAAATAATGGGGTTGCATAAGTGTGCACACCCTCTTATAAACTGGGGATGTAGCTGTGTTCAGAAGAAAGCAATCATATTCAAAATCATGTTAAATAGGAGTCAGTACACACCTGACATCATTTAAAGTGCCTCTGATTAACCCCAAATAAAGTTCAGCTGTTCTAGTAGGTCTTTCCTGATGTTTTCTTAGTCGCATCCTACAGCAAAAGCCATTGTCTGCAGAGAGCTTCCAAAGCATCAGAGGGATCTTATTGTTAAAAGGTATCAGTCAGGAAAAGGGTACAAAAGAATTTCCAAGGTATTAGATATACCATGGAGCACAGTAAAGACAGTCATTATCAAGTGCAGAAAATATGGCACAACAGGGACATTACCAATAACTGGACGTATCTCCAAAATTGATGAAAAGACAAGAAGAAAACTGGTCTGGGAGGCTGCCAAGAGGCCTACAGCAACATTAAAGGAGCTGCAGGAATATCTGGCAAGTACTGGCTATGTGGTACATGTGACAACAATCTCCTGTATTCTTCATATGTCTGGGCTATGGGGTAGAGTGGCAAGATGAAATCCTTTTCTTAAGAAGAAAAACGCCCAAGCCCAGCTACATTTTGCAAAAACACATCTAAGTCTCCCAAAAGCATGTGGGAAAATATATTATGGTCTGATGAAACTAAGGTTGAACTTAATTCCAAAAGATACGATTGGCGGAAAAACTACACTGCACATCACCAAAAGAACACCATACCCACAGTGAAGCATGGTGGTGGCAGCATCATGCTTTGGAGCTATTTTTCTTCAGCTGGAACTGGGGCCTTAGTCAAGGTAGAGGGAATTATGAACAGTTCCAAATACCAGTCAATATTGGCACAAAACCTTCAGGCTTCCACTAGAAAGCTGAACATGAAGAGGAACTTCTTCTTTCAGCATGACAATGACCCAAAGAATACATCCAAATCAACAAAGGAATGGCTTCACCAGAAGAAGATTAAAGTTTTGGAATGGCCCAGCCAGAGCCCAGACCTGAATCTGATTGAAAATCTGTGGGGTGATCTGAAGAGGGCTGTGCACAGGAGATGCCCTCTCAATCTGACAGATGTGGAATGTTTTTGCAAGGAAGAGTGGACAAATATTACCAAGTCAAGATGTGCCATGCTGATAGACTCATACCCAAAAAGACTGTGTGCTGGAATAAATAAAATCAAAACGGTGCTTCAACAAAGTATGTTTAAGGGTATGCACACTTATGCAACATTATTATTTTAGTTTTTATTTTTACTTCCCTCTGCCTAAAAGATTTCAGTTTGTTCAACTATTTTACAGTTTATAGGTCACATCAAAGGTGGAAAAGGTTCTAAAATGATTCTTCTTTGTCTCATTTTTTTACATCACAGAAACCTGACATTTTAACAGGGGTGTGTAGACTTTTATATCCATTGTATGTGTGTGTATATATATATATATATATATATATATATATATATATATATATATATGAAGCTGTGTGCTTCTCTCCATGTAACGTTTGTACTTTGCAGCTGGTACGTTGCACTATGCCTATAAAATATATTTGGATTCAGAATAAATGTTAGCTACGAAGTGCACAAATGTCTGA